GACACAGGGCGGTGTACAGCCAAAAATAAAAACATAAAAATATAAAATTTAAAACAATTTAAAAGTATATTAAACAAATTTGGCCCATATTGATTAAAAAACCCCTTTTTTAAAAAACGAAAAAGCTCTTCCTGCCCTTTCACTCCTGCCACCCGGTGTCTGTCTCGTAGGTCTGTTACGCCAACAACCTGGGCTGCTTCTACCTGGAACTGCAGGTCATCCAGGACGAGCAGGAGGAGCCCTCCGAGACCCTCTCCCGGCTCATCCGGCGCCTGGAGCAGCTGAGAAGGAAGCTGCAAAGGACCGGCCAAGTCAGCCATTGTGCCACCTACCCACCGTGCCACGCTCACCCAGAGAAGCCCGCCATGGCTTTCCTAAGGAAGCTTCTGGAGATGTTTCAGTGGGGGTGCAGTACGAAAGACTTCTGCCCAAGTCCAGGGCCTGGAAACACCACCCTCATCCCTCAGACCACCGCTTCTTCTCCCACGTCTGCGGTGAAGGACCACCAGGTCTAGCTGAAGTTAAAAAGGAGCCGGTGCCACCCTCTGAGGCTGCCTCCAACCTGCAGAGAGGAGGGCTTCTCCCAGGCTGGTGAGCTGATCAGGGATGACGGACGAAGACATCTGGAACCTGTTGGCCATCCAGGTGAATGGAGGAAAGAGAGCCAGGGATTCTGGCAACCATGCCCTGGCACAAGGGCTGCTGGGCATTGTGAGAAATCTCATACCCAAATATATTTTATTCTTATACTGTTCCCATTAACAGAATCCACAATGGGAATCTGAGAATCGGCGTCTTCACTAGATAATAGACAGTCAAGCTGAAAATCAATCAATCAAGTTGAAATAGCAAACAGGGATGAAAATCCTTTACTCAACCTTCCTCAAACCCCCAAATAAGTTACCCAGGCCTAATCCACATATCAAAGGAGAAGGTCTGCAAAAGCAATTAGAGTTAATTAAATTAAGTCTCCTAAACGGAATTGCATGTTCAGGAGTATATATGCTTACACAAACACACACACACCCCTCAAGTGTCACCCTAGAATCAGCACATAGACACTTCCCTACAAGCTCCCCCTATAAAAGTCTGCTGCTGTACCCCATTTCTCTGCAGCTGCATATTTCTTTCCCGACAGCTGTCTGGATCTCATTTTTGTTGATTCTTGTGCAGCCCCGGCTCAAGTTGGAACCCAACTTATTCTTCTGACAGCATCTTCTGTGCCTGGGAAAACGAAGAAGTCGAGGAGCGCAAGGCTTGGAAATAAATAGCCGAGCAGCCCAGCCTGTGCAGGAAAACTGAAGAATGGCATCTTCTCCCAGCATTCCTAAGCAGGTAAAGACTCATCTGTAGGGCGGGGAGCAGAATGCAGAATAATAGAATCGGAAGGAACCTTAGAGGTCTTCTAGTCTGACCTTGCCCTGCTCAAGCAGGAGACCCTATACCATTTCCCACAAACCCAGTCACTTCTTAAAAACTTCCAGTGTTGGAGCATTCACAACTTCTGGAGGCAAGCGGTTCCATTGGTTAATTGTTCTCACTGTCAGGAAATTTCTCCTCAGTTCTAGGTTGCTTCTCTCTTTGATCATCTTCCTTCTGTTACCTCTTGTCCTTCAGTTAGGTAGGATAGGTCAGAATACAGAATAAGAGAGTCGGAAGGGACCTCGAAGGTCTTGTAGTCCAACCCCCTGCTCAAGCAGCAAGATTTTATGCCACGGGTGTCCAACCTTGGCAACTTTTAAGACCAGGGACTTCAATTCCCAGAATTCCCCTGCCAGTTGTGGGAGTTGCAGCATTTTGGTACCACTGTAACAACTTGGTGGTGTTTCCACAGAGAAACCAGAAGGAAGGTTGGCTGATTACACTGGAAGCTGCTGCTTACTCATGAAACTGGTGAGTTCCTACCGTATTTTCATTCTAACGTGGGAGGTTGATAAGTAGACCTCCATCCTGGCCAGGGTTCCTTCAGAGCCCAGGTTTCTTACCAAACTTGTGGCTTTGGATGTACAGGTAGTCCTTGATTTACGACCACAGTTGAGCTCCAAATTTCCATTGCTATGCAAGACAGTTGTGAAGTGAATTGCACCCCATTATACAATATTTTTCGCCACCGTCGTTAAATGATTCAGCTGCAGTTGTTAACTGAATCATGCAGTTGTTAAGCTTCCCCCAGGGACTTCGCCTGTCAGAAGCCGGCTGGGAAGGTCACAAAATGGTGATCACATGAGCCTGGGATGTTGCAACCGTCGTAAATACGAGTCAGTTGCCGAGCGTCCAAATTTGGATCACCTGAGAACGGGGATCTTTGGATGATCAGTAAATGAATGGTTATAAATTGAGGACTACTCTACTGCTTGTGGAGAATGTTTCTTTCACATGGAGCTTTTATCTCCCCCCACCCCGAGAAATTTCATCAGACAAAATTTTCCCTTTAGAAAATGAGGAGCCAGAAGTCCGCAGAGAGGACACCTCTAAGTCCGTGAGATAGCAGATGGAGCCTGTACCTTCCCCTAAAGAATCCAGCAAGGACTTTATGGGCTTCAAAAGTTTATTTCCCTAAGAAAACTCATCCTCCAGGTAAGTGTTTGCTTTGTCAAAGGCAGGAGGGAGGGGAAGAAACCATCCAAATGTTTTTACTACTGGTTTTGTGGGCGTAGCTAGGTGGGAGTGGTGTGGCTTGGTGGGCGTGGCTTGGCTTGGCATGGCAGGGGAAGGATACTGCAAAATCTCCATTCCCACCCCACTCTTGGGCCAGCCAGAGGTGGCATTTGCCGGTTCTCCGAACTACTCAAAATTTCTGCTCCAGTTCTCCAGAACCTGTCAGAACCTGCTGGATTTCACCCCTGGAGGAAAGCCATTGTATTCTCTTGCATTCCTGTGAATTTTCCATCTCTTATTTTACCAGGTGAAAGGAGACTCAAAAGAACGGAGGAAAAAACCAGTGATTTGTGACTTGGTCAGCTATCTGCCAATTCCCAAGAGCTATCCTTCAATGGCTACTGAAAAAAAAAGTTTCTGTCTTTCTTTTGTTGCAAATTTTGTTATGGGACTTCAGTCAGATGGACTTACAGAAGCTGTATAAACAATAATGCCAACAAAACCAAAGGAAAACAAATAAATATTTTTATATCACATACAATTATAACAACAATAAAACAATAGCAATCCCATCAATCAGCAGATCAGTAGGCCTATCAAGAAAAAAAGAGGGAATTTAGGTAACTAGGAGCCAAGTTGCTCAAGGTTTATACATTTGCATCAAGAACTTGGAGATGGTTGGGAATAAATAAGGTAGTCCACGATTTACTGGCTGGGAAATTCTGGGAGTTGAAGTCCACAAGTCTTTAAAGTTGCTGCGGTTGGGCATCTCTGCCTTAGATTCTGTGATTCAACCCTATCCAAAAGGAATCCTACTGCTATGATCCAGCTGTGGTTATTGGTATACTGAGGTCTAAATTCAACCTCATTGTCCCCATTACTAATGGGGTAGTGATCTTCTAGTCCATTAGGAGTTGCTGGCTGGGGATGATGTGAACTGTGATCTCACTTCAGGAGGAGCTTCCTTGAGGAAGGCTGATCTAACGAAAGAGGAGGAGAGGGTAGTAGAGATTATTCTGTTGCTTTCTGTATTTTATCTGGGTTTTTGAACTGAAGGCAAGGGTTGGGCTACCTCAAGGATGGCAAAGGCAGAGAGGTGGCCTGAGGAAGGAATGGCTTTCCGAGTAGATGCTGCCTGAAACCCAAGGCTGGGCAGCTTGACTTCAAGAAGCACAAACCTCCCACAAAAAGCAGCTGCAAACTCCCTCACACTCGTTTCATTCCTCATAGAATAGAATAGAATTCTTTATTGGCCAAGTGTGATTGGACACACAAAGAATTTGTCTTGGTGCACACGCTCTCGGAGTACATAAAAGAAAAGATACATTCGTCAAGAATCATAAGGTACAACACTTAATGATAGTCATAGGGTACAAATAAGCGATCAAATCATACTAGGAAACAATCAGTATAAATCATAAGGATACAAGCAACAAAGTTACAGTCATGCAGTCATTAAGTGGGAGGAGATGGATGATAGGAACGGTGAGAAGACTTAATAGTAATAGTAATGCAGCCTTATGTATAGTTTGACAGTGTTGAGGGAATTATTTGTTTAGCAGAATGATGGTGTTCGGGGAAAAACTGTCCCTGTGTCTAGTTGTTCTGGTGTGCAGTGCTCTATAGCGTCGTTTTGAGGGTAGGAGTTGAAACCATTTATGTCCAGGATGCGAGAAGTCTGTAGATATTTTCATCTTTGCTGAACTGGCATCCTATCCTTTCTCTAGCAGGTAAAATGTGGTCTTGGTGCAGTGCTCCCCACAATGACCCTGTGAGATGGACCAGGGTGCAAGTCCCTCCTGGCTGAGGGGGTGACTTAACCTCAACCCCCTTCCAAGCAGCTTCCAGAGGGTCTTGACTGGCCATCTTCCACTAGGTGCTTGCCCTTTCTTTCTTTCTTTCTTTCTTTCTTTCTTTCTTTCTTTCTTTCTTTCTTTCTTTCTTTCTTTCTTTTTCTCTTTTTCATTTATTTATTTTATATTACATTTTATTTCTTACATTTATTAAATTTAAACTATTTATTCAATATTGGACCCTGACTCCCATCATCCCCAGCTGTCAGAGAGGCGGCTGCGGCTGATGGGAACTGCCACCTGCCACTCTCCCCCAGCACGAGGGACGCTCATCCCGGTCCAGATGGCATCCAGCCACTGCATCCGAGCTCTGCCATTGGCTGGAACGTTTCCCCAAGCCAGCCAATCCGCACCCGTTACGTCAACGGCCCGCCGGCCGGAAAAAAGAATCTCCGCCTATTTCGGATTTGGGATTTTAGGAGCGAGCGAGGCGACAGGAGCGGCCTAGAGCGGCCCGTTGTGATGTCATCCGCCCCAGACACGCAGGAATCTCCTGTCGAATCAGCACCCCGGCTCCCCCATGACGCACCCTTCTCGGGATCTCGCGAGACTTCGCGGAATCTCCGCGTTAGGAGGCGGGGGCCTCTGTTTTGCTTTGAGGCGCCTCGGTTCGCCCCTCTCGGGAAGGAGGAAGCCGGGCGAGGCACCCCGACCGCCGCGGCCGCCGGCCGAACGACCGAGGACCTGGTAAGCGGCGCCCAGGAGAACCGGGGCGACCTTTGACCCCTCGGGAGCCCCTCCCGCCGGGGGAATTCCCCGCCCGCATGGCAGACCTCTTGGATTACAGCTCCCATCCTCCCCAGCCGCTCGCCCGGTGCTCCCCAAGGGCCCTGGACTACAGTCCCCACTCTCCCCGGTCTCCTCTCCGAACCACAAGCCCTATCCTCCCCGGCAGGACGGCCCCCGCCCTCTCAGGGGCCGAGACTGCAACGCCCATCATCCACAGCCGCCAGCCTCCTTCCAGGCAGCCGATGCTGGGGCCGCCCCTCCCCCAGGGGGTGTTTTGTTTGCGGGGTATTGATTTCAAGAGCCATAAGATTCCCCCATCTTACAACATAAACACTCAGTAATACTTCTTTAAAAGGAATAAAAATTAAATACTAACATTTGACAATCCAATGCTCTTCTTCTACCGCCATCGGTGGGAAATCAGGAGTCCAGAGGCCGGTGGGCGGGGACACTGTTTATTTGCATCCCACCTTTATTGTTTCTGTAAATAACTCACAGTGGTGAAGATATCTAATATTCCCCCTTCCTCCTCTGTCTTCCCAACCACAACAACCCTGTGAGGTGGGCCGGGCTGAGAGAGAGAAAGGGACTGGCCCAAAGTCACCCAAGCTCATTTTCATGGTTAAGGCGGGACTTGAACTCACCATCTCTCACTTCCTTTTGTTCTCCAAGTTTTATTTGTTTTACTTATATAACATTCATTTTCATCAAACAGTGTGCGGTCTGGGTACAATTATATTTAAGTAGTCATAATACAACACTTTGTTGTGATATTCATCACCATAATATTGATAATATACTAGCATAATAATATAATAACAATAATACGTAACATCATCATCTTTTAACAACTCTCCACTCTAACATTTCCTCTTTTTATATCTCCTCCCTTCTAACTTCTGTTTCTGTTGTCTAGCCATTGATCAAATATGTTCCATATCAGGTAATCTCTCACTTTCTAACTTGGTGCTTTAACCACTAGACCAGCAGTGGTGCCCAACCTTTGCAGCTTGGTGGCCCGGCTGAGGTGGGGAAGAGGGGAACTGGGCCGTGTGAGCAGCTCAACTTGTGCAAGTTTCCACCCCCCGCCCCGCCCCTTGCACAAGGGCTGCGTGCACACACACGCTGACCTGCCACTCAATTCCAAATAGGTCATGGCCTGATAGTGGGCCAGGGGTTGGGGACCCCTGCATTAGACCAATCTGGCTCATTGTTGTATCCCTCACTGGGCGAGAGAAAACTATGTGGAATCCTTTGCACCCAGGGTCCTTCTGTTGACCTGTCCCTGTCTGAGCCAATCCCCTTTCCCCATCAGACACATCAAAATTTTCCCTCTGTGCTTCTCTTCCTCCGTGGTCAGAGGGTGCAGTCAAGATGTCTGACAGCGAAGACAGCAACTTCTCCGAAGATGAGAGCGAGCGTAGCAGCGAGCCTGAGGAGGTGGAGGAGAACGAGGTGAGCCTGAGCCGCCCAGGGCTGAGAATTGGGGTTCAGGGATTCCCTTTGGCAAACTTGAGGACCAACTGTTTCTTCCCAGCAAAGTGGGGGAAAGCAAAGCTGCTTTCGTTGAGCTTTAGTTTAGCCAGACCGGTTCTCCCTCGTCCCTGCAGGCAGAAGAGCGGGCCAGCGTCGTAGGAAGCGAGAAAGAAGAAGCAGAGGAGGAAGAGGAGGAGGAAGAGGAAGAATACGACGAGGAGGAAGACGAAGATGATGATCGGCCTGCAAAAAAACCCAGACATGGAGGCTTTATTTTGGACGAAGCTGGTAAAAACGCCCTGCTTTAATAGTTGGGGTTTGATAGTGAAGAATACAGGGAGTCTTAAACTTACAACAGTTTTCTTAGTGACCCTTCAAAGTTACAACGGCACTGAAAAAAGTGACTTATGACCATTTTTCATGTTTATGACCATTGCAGCATGGTCACATGTTCAAAATTTGGACGCTGGGCAATTGACTCATATTTATGACGGTTGCAGCTTCCCGGAGTCACATGATCCCCTTTTGCGACCTTCTGACAAGCAAAGTCAATGGGGAAGCCAGATTCACTTAACGACTATGTTACTGCAATCTGCAATCATTTATTTAACAACTGTGGCAAGAAAGGTCATAAAATGGGGCAAAATTCACTTAACTGTCTTGCAATTTCGGGCTTAATTGTCATAAATCAAGGACTTACCTGTATGCAGGAAGTAACCAAGTTCTTCCTGTTTCTCACGGTGTGGGTTTCCCCTGTTCTCTCTGTTTGCAGATGTTGATGATGAGTATGAAGACGAAGATCAGTGGGAGGATGGAGCAGAGGACATCCTGGAAAAAGGTAGGGCCGACCAGCTTCCTGTCCTGATATCTGAGATCCAGAGATCAAGACCTTGCAAAGTATACAAGTCCGACATACCTTTTCCTCTGAAGTTCCTGTGGTGATGGGGTTCCTGCTTTCCTCCACCTACCTTCCCTGGCCGGGCACTCCCTACACAGGCAGGATTAAAACCTCCAGGAGGCTGGTTGGGAATTTGGGAGCACAATCTCAGCGTCTAGCAGGGTGCCTGTGGCTTTCGGAAGTGGCCTTCCACTGGCTAGAAGAAATTTAACCGGCTGTCTTTTGAATAGGTTTTCCTTTTCCTCGATTGCGGGATGATTTCCTCAATTACGATTGGAGACTTCTTAAAGTCTGTTGAGCTATGACTACTTTTCAAAAGGTTTTTTTTTTTTTTTTTGGCTTTCTCCTGTCAGAGCTAGAAACAATCTCTTCTCCCCTCTGGGATGTCTGCCACCCTCTTCCCAACCTGCAAAAACCAAATGTTTCTATAAAGCCCCAAATCTGGGTTAAAACTATAAACAAATCCTTGGTTGCAGAGGGTCTATTTTGTGCGGTACCTGGCAGAATGCAAGAGGCGGTAACAGTGCCTCCGAGACCTCCCTGCCCGGGTCCTAGCCCTTTCTTCCACCCCCCCAGGCTGTCCCTATCCCTGTCCCCAACTCTCCCTCCCCTCTCCCCACTTCCTGATGGCTTCTCCTTTGCGTTTCCGTGCATCTCATTCGCTTCTGCTTGGTTTGTGCCTCATCTTAATTTTGTTCCTTCCGCTTTTCTGTTCCCCATTCACCTCCACCCTGTGGTTGGTTTTGATGGTATTATTTGGCTCATACTGTCCGCCTTTCCACCACCACCACCTCCTCCTCCTCCCGAGCAGAAGAAATCGAAGGTAAGACAGTTTTTTGTTTTTCTCCTCTCCATTCCAGCTCCTCTCCTCTCCTTTCCACCAGCTGCCTTCCTTTTCTGCTTCGTTTCAGCCAGGTGGGACGCAATGAATGGGGAGTATAAGAGGGAGGGGAAGAGCACCCCCAGCACGCGGGCTTAGCTGCTGCAGGAAGTGCAGGGATCCTCAGGGTCAGGATGTCCAGTGGTCCAGGCATTCAAAAGCCGTCTGCAAGATCTGCAGCTGAGGTTCTTGGTTCATGTCCTGGAGTGCCAATAAATCTCTGTGCATAGGAAAAGAGTCCGGTTTCAACCCAGTTGCCTCTCTTTGCATGCTTCTTTTCTATGCGCAGGGACTTGCAAATATCCCCTCACAAACAATTATGCAAGCCTGCTGTTGCTTTTCTGCCTCTGTCTCTCCTGAATGTCCTGATAAGGCCACTGGAGCATCAGTGCATAGAAACAGGGCAGCCTGGCTGCAGTTATCAGTAGCTTTCTGGGAGATTGCAAGAGCTGCAAAAGTCTTTTTTTTCCTACCTTCTTCCTTCTTTCCTCCTTTTCCTGGGCTTTTTTGGTCAGAGGTCTAGTCTTCGCAGAGAGCAGTGAGCTGTCCCAGCCACCAAACTTCATGTCTGGAAGCTGCTGGTCCTTCCTTCTCGGCTTTCTCCTCAAATTTGCCCACTGCCTCTCTGCTTCTCCTTCCTCTCCTGCCCTTTGCCAACTCCTGTCTTTCTTCTTAGCCTCCAACATTGACAATGTGGTGCTGGACGAAGACCGTTCCGGAGCCCGGAGACTGCAGAACTTGTGGAGGTAATAGGAAGGGGGCATTCCAGGGGATGGGGGGGCTCTTCTGGGCTCACTATCTGAGGTTGCCAAGTTTGGGGAACCCTGGATTAAATCGATGACCCTACTCCTTTATATAGCCCATCACTATCTTAGCTGTTTCTTTGTTAACTTTAATACTATATTTATTGTCTTACTTTTAATCTATAATATTGGTTTAGCAGATTAGAAGCTGCCCAGAATCGTGTGGAAGAGAGCTGGATGGCAAATAATTAAATGAAATACAATAACAACCTAGAACATCCACATATGTGTATAGCCTCCAGTCATAGGGGGACTTACAACCACGTGGTTCATTCCTGTTAGAAATTCTGTTTACATATAGCACCACAGAGCAAAGAGTACAGTCACCATGTGCTTTACTGTTCAACTGTTCTACTATAACAGGAAACAAGTTCTACTTGGAACAAAAGAGCATAGAGTATATATCATACCAGTAGATACAAACTTGTAAACACTGCCATCTACTGGCTGAATACTACTGTGGTTGTTGCATAAAAATATATTCCAACTATTCCTCTTTTTTTTTCTACTTCTCTGCTCTCTGTCTCTCTCACTTTCTTCAGGGACCAAAGAGAAGAAGAGCTGGGCGAGTATTACATGAAGAAATATGCCAAGTCTTCCGTGGGCGAGACGTAAGTAGGGGCATCTCCTCTGCTAAGAGTCCCCTTGGGTTCCTGATCAGCAGCCCCGTTTCCTGGATTCTTCCAGCCTTTCAGCCAATGTTTCTTTTTTCCTTCGGTCTTTCTAGTGTGTATGGTGGCTCCGATGAGCTTTCTGATGACATTACACAACAGCAGCTGCTTCCGGGAGTCAAGTAAGAGATGATGGATTATACCTGCGGGGTAGTGCGAGGAGAGTTTGTTGGGGGCACAGGGCAGCGGTGGTGGAGGCTGAAGGGGCCCAGCCAAGACATCTTGAGTCAGCCCAAGGAGCAGAGACCGCTTGTTGGACAGGACAAACCAACCTTACGGGCTTTGTTTTCCCTCCCATTCAGGGACCCCAATCTTTGGACGGTGAAATGTAAGGTAAGTCTTCGTGGGTCAAGATTAGCCGGGGGGGGGCAGTGGGGGAACAGTGCAATGGAGGGGATTGATTGAGTAATAACAGATCCCACAACTCCCTTCCCCACGTCTCCTTGGTTTTAATGTTTTCTTATGTCTTAACTATATACATAAAACTAAACTGCCCAGAGTCACCCTATGATAGGATGGGCAGCCAATAAAATTTATAAACAAACTTGGTTATTCTCATGAAGGGGCTGCTTTGACTTCAGGTCAGGTGGCAGGAGCACGGTGGCTCCTGGGGCTAGGACGCTGGGTTGGAGGTTAGCAAGCCCGCGTTCGAGACCCAGGTGTTGCTGCGGTGGGGTGAGCTCCCCTCATTGGCTCCAGCTCCCTTGATGTGGACATAAACAGAGCCCCCATGGGCGTCCCCCAGGGATTGGTGATGTCACTGGCTAATCCTTTCAACCCCGAAGCGCCTTAAACAGTGCCTGTGGCATGAACGGTGGGGGTGAAGTCAGGTGGCCCTGAGGCTGTCCCGGTGCCCTATTGCCACTGCTGCTTCTCTTGTGTTCCCCCTCCAGATTGGAGAGGAGCGTTCCACCGCGATTGCCCTGATGAGGAAGTTCATCGCCTACCAGTTCACGGACACAGTGAGTGGGGTGGAAAGTGGGGAAAGGAGGAAGATTTCGTGGGTCTGGTTTGGCTTTGTCCTTGGGCCCCTGGATATGGGAGACCATTCATAAGTTCTCCAAGTCTTGGGCCTTTCTTGACTTGGCTGCTCGGCCATAAAATTAGGAATCTCTCCTGAATCCTCTGGGTACATGTAGGGTTATGGCCTTGGGAGAGTAGTAGAAGGCCTTATCCTGTTTTAAAAGATCTACGGAGAAAAATCAGAGAGGCCGTTCCTTGTACACAAAACCTTCGACTCCCCTGGTGCCTTATTTTATTGATATCCAGTTGTTTCAACAACTCAAAGCAGCAAATGAACGCAACACTCCTTCCTCAGCTTTTCCCTACAACAACCCTGTGAAGTGGATTGGGCAGAGGGTGGGGAGGGGCTGGCCCAAAATCACCCAGCTGGCTTTCATGCCTAAAATGGGACTAGAATTCACTGTCTCCTGGTGATTACCTAAAGTCTCTTGAACCCGCCGTCTCATGCATGGTACCTTTTGCGTATTTCTGGCGATAACAAGGGGGAAGGCTTCTCGCTGCCCCTGTGCAAATCCTGCCCTGGCCCGTGAATTGCGTAACCTCCCCTCCTGCCTGCTGGTGTGTCTTCGCAGCCCTTGCAGATCAAATCGGTGGTGGCTCCTGAGCACGTGAAGGGCTATATCTACGTGGAGGCTTACAAGCAGACCCACGTCAAGCAGGCCATCGAAGGGGTGGGCAACCTCCGGATGGGCTACTGGAACCAGCAGATGGTGCCCATCAAGGAAATGACCGACGTCCTGAAGGTGGTGAAAGAGATGACCAACCTCAAGCCCAAATCTTGGGTGCGACTCAAGAGGGGAATCTACAAAAGCGACATCGCTCAGGTGAGCCGAGTTCAGAGGGCACGTTTTTCGGAGGGAAAGGGGATCACGTTAACCATTTTCAGAAGATATTTCCGAAGCATGGGGGAAACTTACTGGGAAGAAGGACAGAGAGTTGTTAGGGATCTACAGGTAGTCCTTGACTTACAACAGTTTATTTAGTGACCGTTCAAACTTACAACAGCACTGAAAAGAGTGACTTATGACCATTTCTCACACTTATGACCGCATCTCCACGGTCATGTGATTTACATTCAGATGCTTGGAAACTAACTCACAGTTATGACGGTTGCAGTGTCCCAGGGTCACATGATCCCCTTTTGCAACTTTCCAAAAAGCCAAGTCAATGGGGAAGCCCGATTCACTTAACAACGGTATTACTCATTTAAGAACTGCAGCGGTTCACCTAATGAAGGTCGTAAAACGGGGCGAACCTCACTTAACAAGTTTCTCACTTAGCAACATAAATTCTGGGCTCAATTGTGGTCGTAAAGGCGAGGCCCCCCTGTGTTTTGTGATTTCACCCACATTGACCGAAGCCACTTCCTTCTCTTGTTGTTAGGTGGATTACGTGGAGCCAAGCCAGAATCAGATTTCGCTCAAGATGATTCCGCGCATCGATTTCGATCGCATCAAAGCTCGAATGAGCCAGGTAGGTGATGTGTGGCCTTACAGGAAGATCTCTGCATTTAAATATTCAGCTGAGCCTTCATTTTTCCTCTCTTAATCGTCGTTAACGTTTGGGGCTGGAACAGTTGCCTGGTCTTCCGTTTTATAAGACGGTAGCAGCGTTATTTGGAGTATCATTTCAGATATCCTCACATCTTTCCCAGCTCCAGTCCTCCACCTGCTTATTTACCGCAGTTGAATCTTGTTTTCTTTTCTCAAAATCAGCTAAGGTGGTTAGGAAGAGATGGAGTCAGAGTGTCAGCTCTGAAGCCGGCCTGACTGAGGCCATCTTGGAGGCTTCAGTGTTGCCACTGTGGCAGGAGAGTCAAACTCGATTTCATGGAGGGCCACATCAGGGTTGTGTTTGACTTCGGGGGGTTTGGGGGGGCGTGACCAGCTCGATGTCACTCATCGAGGCTCCATTTTCAGCCCCGATGGCCCGCCCAGGCTCTGTTTTCAGCCACAATGGCCTCCTGCAGCCCTCTGTCAGCAAAAACGGAGCTCGGGGAGGCTGTGTGCAGCCTGCCCAGTCTCCGTTTTCGCTGAGAGTGTTGTAGGAGGACATGGCAGGTGAAAACAGTGCCCAGGTAGGCCACCTGCAGCCCTCCTGAGCTCCGTTTTCACTAGCACCATGGGCCGGTCCTTTGCTGTTTTCAGGGCAGGCCCACAGGCCAGATCTAAGCACCCCAAAGGCTGGATCTGGCCCGTGGGCCTTGATTTTGTCATCCCTGCACTATGGTGCTGAGGGATAGGGAGGGGGGAATAGAGATAGTTGGGGGTTTTGTAGCCAAAACAAAATAGTTTCCCCTGAGAACCAAGGACATTCCCGCAAGCGACTGAAGCGAGGAGGAGTGAAGTTTCCAAGCAACCAGACAGCCTCTCGATTGGACCATGTGACTGATTGTTTGCGGAAGGGGGGGAAACTTTTAATTCGGTGAAAACCGCGGGAACCTTTAGAGTCGGTTTTCACCAGTCTGTGCCAATATGATATAGCCAATAAACCTGTTCTTTGAGGAATTCCCCTGCCTCGGAGTTCTGTTTGCTAGGGGTGTATTCCTTGGAACCCTGACCCATAGCCCTAGAGAAGCCTTTGCGAAATAATAAAATGCAAAAAGCAAATAAGCCCCCGTCATAGCCTCTTTTTCTAAAGATTTATGCTAAGTGTTTGGGCTAACGGTTCGTCCAAATCTCTCTCCATTGGCAGAAAGATTGGGTGGCGAAATGGAAGAAATTCAAGCGTCCCCCACAACGGCTCTTCGATGCGGAAAAGATCCGGTGAGTCAGCCATGCCTTTCGGAGAGATGGGATCGGCCTTTGGAAAGGCGGGTGGAGCTGAGGAGCACAGAACGACTGGACCAGTGTTTCTCAACCTTGGTAGCTTGAAGATGGGTGGACTTCAACTCCCAGAATCCCCCAGCCAGCAGCGCTGGCTGGGGGATTCTGGGAGTTGAAGTCCACCCATCTTCAAGCTTCCAAGGTTGAGAAACACTGGACTGGACGGTTCAGTCTAGTGAGGGGCACAGGGAACTGACCCGCAACAGTGTCCCCGGGGTCACGTGATCCCTTTTTTGCGACTGTGGCGAATCACTTAACAACTGTGGCAGGGGGTGGTAAAATGGGCCCAAACTCAACAAATGTCTCACTTAACAACAATTGTCATAAGTCGAGGACTAACTGTTTATCTAGCCTAAATGAAAAGGAAGGACTAGGGGGGACATGATAGCATCTTCCAATATTTGAGGGGCTGCCCCCAAAGAAGAGGAGGTCAAAATATTCTCCAAAGCACCGGAAGGCAGGACAAGAAGGAACAGATGGAAGCTAATCAAGCAGCCTGAAACTTAAGGAGAAACTTCCTGACAGTGAGGACAATTAACCAGGGGAACAGCTTGCCACCAGAAATTGTGGCTTCTCCGTCACTGGAGGGTTTTAAGAAGAAACTGGATAGCCATTTGACCGAAATGGCCTGGGGTTTCCTGTCTGAGCAGAGGGTTGGACTAGAAGGCCTCCAAGGTCCTTCCAGCTATGTTATTCTGCTGTGTGGAGAAACTGCTTTGGGTTGATTTGTCGTGTCCTGCTTTGGCTTAACTCACCCTTCGCGGGCGGGGGGGGGGGGGGCAATGGATTTCCCACAGGCCCCGCCCCGGGGGGGGCTTTTTAACCAACCTCCTCCTCCCCCCCCTTCCAGATCTTTGGGTGGTGACGTGGCCTCCGATGGGGATTTCCTCATCTTCGAAGGGAATCGCTACAGCCGGAAAGGGTTCCTCTTCAAGAGCTTCGCCATGATGGCTGTGGTGAGGATGGGGGCTGCTTGGCGGGGCGGGGTTCTTCTTCGGAGTCTGGGATGGGTGTTCACGGCTCATGGACCAATATTTCACACACCCAATATGCTCATTGTCCCTTTTCATCTAGTCTCGCGTTAATCTCTAACCTTTCAATGCCGAATGTTTTAATGTTTTTAATGCTAGGGAATGTCATCAATGCTAGAAGGGCGTGGAGTTTCTGTAATGGAGGGAAAAGGAGGAGGGGGGGACTCCAGGGTCCTTGGTGCTTCCTGAGGTTGGTGGTTTTCTCACAGACATTGCAGTACCAAACTAGATCACATCATCAGTGCCACTACTGAGTATACTAGCCACTAGTATATCAATAGAGAGCTTCAAGGACCCCACAGTCTTTTTCCTCCTCCTCCTCTCCACAAATCCCCCTTCTCTTCTAGCACTGATGATGTTACCTAGTTGGGTAATGAAATGTCTGCAAGGAAACCACCAAGCTGAGAGAGTTACAAGGACCCCACAGTCATTGCCGTCCTCCTCTTTCTCCTCCCTGAACATACACACACACCTCCTAGCATTGATGATGTTCCTTAGTTGGGTAATGAAATGTCTGCAAAAAACCACCAAGCTCAGAGAGCACCCAGGAGCCCACCGTGCAAGCTGAGCCACAGAGGTTCTTCCTCTGCTATCAGCTTGGAGTCCAGTTCTGGTTCCTGTCTCGAGGGTCCTCTCTGGGTTAATTTCCCCTCCCCCTCCATTGCTGGCTCTTGTTTTGACTTCAGATCACCGATGGAGTGAAGCCCACTTTGTCCGAGCTGGAGAAATTTGAGGACCAGCCTGAAGGGATCGACTTGGAGGTGGTGACCGAGAGCACAGGTGCGTCCCCTGCTTCCTTTTACTCCTGAGGGGACGCTGCCTTGATGTGGCAGGTCCTGGGGGGCTCCCAGGAAGAGGACATCGGGTGTCCCATGTGTTCAGCTATGACCAGGCTATGATCTTTTCTGGCTCCTGGCTAAGGGCAAACGCCTCTGCCCATCGGAAGGCCCTTGAAGGAGGCCACTGGACAGAGCATCTTCACACCTTCCCGTTTTGGTTTCAGGGAAGGAACGGGAACACAACTTCCAGCCGGGAGACAACGTGGAGGTGTGCGAAGGGGAGTTGATCAACCTGCAGGGGAAGATCCTGAGTGTGGACGGGAACAAGATCACCATCATGCCCAGGCACGAAGACCTCAAGGTAGGGGCCTCTTGACCATTTCTCTGGCTCTCAGCTTCAGCCTGCCAGTTTCCTCTCTCTGTGCCCACCTTTACAAAAATCAGTTCCCCATTCTGTCTGCCTGTGGGGCCTCAGGAGAAGAGGAGCCTGCTTCAGCTGTGGGGCTGAGAACCAGCTACCTCTCTCTCTCTCTCTCTACCCAAGGACTGTGTCCTGGCCCTGAGCAAGAGGGCCAGTCCTGTCTGGCCTGGAAGGCAAACCTGGGTTAACCCAAGTCCGTCTCACCCAGGATTGTGTAAACTGAGCTGTCTTCCAAGGCTTTGGAGCAGGAAAAACCCACCACACCTGCTCCTTTACATGCTGTGCTTTCCTGTGGCTGATTTATTTTCCTGTATAAATGACATTTAGTTTGATTCTTACAGCCCCCTGCTCAAGGAAGCCTCGTTTGCCTCGGGGTGTTATATGAACGCTTCCTATAAGTTAGGGCTTGCTAACCTTAGCAACTTTTAAGATGTGTGGGCTTCAACTCCCAGAATTCTGCAGCCAGCATGAATAGACTTCAATTCCCAGAACTCCCCAGCCAGCATATGTGAATTCACCTCCCAGAATTCCCCAGCCAGATGAGCGGACTTCAATTCCCAGAAATTGAAGTTGAAGTCCATATATCTTAAAGGCTGAAAAATTCTGCTGCAAGTGGAGGCCCTTGGAATCTCTCTGCCGAAAACCCGACCTCTGACCTCTCCTCTGCAGACCCTCATTTCCTATCCAACAAACAAAGACCCCCTCTCCCCACTCCCTATTTGCAGGGAGAGCTCTCGTCCCCCATCCTCTGCTCTTTTGTTCCCCTCCTTCTCCAGGATATGCTGGAGTTCCCAGCTCAGGAGCTGCGCAAATACTTCAAAATGGGAGATCACGTGAAGGTCATCGCCGGGCGCTTTGAGGGCGACACAGGGTTGATTGTCCGTGTGGAGGAGAACTTCGTCATCCTTTTCTCTGACCTGACGATGCACGAGGTGAGTGGCCAAACAGCCCCACAGAATCCGTGGTCTGCGAGGCATTTGCTCGTGAGTTACGGGCCTGGCTGGGGAGTGCGGAGTGGAGGAGAAGGGGAGAGGAGGCTTGTGGGGTCCTTGGTGCTTTCTGAGGCTGGCCGCTTTCTTTGCAGACGTTTCACGACCCGACTAGGGAACATCATCAATGCTGGAAGGGAATGGGGGTTTGCTCTCTGTTCCTTTACCAAGAAAAAAACATCATCCCACCTACGCAGATAGGGCACGCTACTAGTATATAAACAGAGAGCAAACCCCACTCCCGTCTAACCCTGATGATGTTCCTTAGTTGGGTAATAAAATGTCTGCAGGAAAACCATCAGGCTCAGAGAGGCACCAAGGATCTCACAGTCCTCCTCCTCCTCTCCATAAACCCCCCTCCCTTTCAGCACTGATAATGTTCCCTAGTTGGGTCATGAAATGTCTGAAAGAAAAAGCACAGAGAGCACCAAGGACCCTACAGTCGCCATCTTACTCCTCTTCCCTTCCTCCTCTCCACAAACCTCACTCCCTTCTAACATGATGATGTTATGTAGTTTGGTCATGAAACGCCTGCAAGAAACATTGAACTCCTGTTTCTCCCCACCTCCACAGCTCAAAGTTCTCCCCCGAGACCTTCAACTCTGCTCCGAGACGGCCTCTGGTGTGGATGTGGGTGGCCAGCACGAGCTGGGAGAACTAGTGTTGCTGGACCCCCAGACCGTCGGGGTCATCGTGCGTCTCGAACGGGAGACCTTCCAGGTGGGTGGGTGACGCCTCCAGAATGTGGAGAGTTCAGATTCAGAAACTGCAACCCCCTGATCCTTTGGCTGCTGTTGATTTAAGACTGTTATGGTAAAGAATCCCCAAAACCTGGCCGGTGGGTGGTCATCGGACCTTCTACCCAGTTTGGCATGAGCCTAATTTCCAAATATCCAGTGCCGTAAAAATAGGAATTGTGACATTAAATCCTGACAATACCTTAAAGCAGTGCTTCTCAAACTTGGCCATTTTAAGAAAAAAACTCCGGCATAGCTGGCTGGGGAATTCTGGGAGTTGAAGTCCACACATCGTCCAGCGGCCAAAGTTGAGAAACACTATCTTAAAGTCTTAAAATGGCCAAGCTTGAGAAACACAGTTTTTAAAAAGAAGCTTTTTTAAATGATAGTTGCTCCATGCCGTGTTTAAGAGAAGCCATCCTGCACATGGGAAGGGGGCAAGCTCTCGTGGTCATAGAGAAGGCTCCCAATTGAAAACTTGGCATCTCTGAAATAATAACAACAACAACAATAACAACAACGTCCTCCAGAAGTGTAGGGTCTCATCTCCCTCCCACTCCCAAGCCAGAAGGTATCAGCTTGGGAAAAGCTGCAGAGATGCCAAGAGACGCGATTAAGGTAAGGTAAGGGAGCGGCTTTGCAGAGCGAGATGGGCAGCCTATAAATTTAATCAATAAATCCGTGCAGAATTCCCTTTTCTGCTCCGGTGTTTGTTGCAAGACGGAGTGCCTGGCCTTGGGTCCATCAGCTGAGCTCTGCCTCAAATCTATGACCCTGAGGCCCTTGGGGGATGCAACAGGGGCTTCGCAGACACCCCCTGGGGACCTCTCCCACCATCTGGCTCTCAGCCTAGGTCTCTCCTCCTCATTCAGGTCCTGAGCATGAACAACCAACTGGTGACTGTGCGGCATCAGGCGGTGAATCGGAAGAAGGACAATCGCTTCGCGGTCTCCCTGGACTCGGAGCAGAACAACATCCACGTAAAGGACATTGTGAAGGTCATCGAAGGTTCTCATTCGGTGAGCCACCCACCCATCCATCCACGAGGCTGGGCGTTGAGCTGTGTCTGGACAGCAGGGGGAGAAATGTGTCTCACTGGCTGCCTTCATCCCTTTAATGCAGTGTTTCTCAACCTTGGAAGCTGGGGGATTCTGGGAATTGAAGTCCACCCATCTTCAAGCTTCCAAGGTTGAGAAACACTGCTTTAATGGAAAGAGGAACTGGGGGTGACATGATAGCAGTCTTCCAGTATTTGAGGGACTGCCACAAAGAGAAGAGGGTCCACCTATTCTCCAAAGCACCGGCAGGCAGGACAAGAAACATGGAAACTCATCAAGGAGAGAAGCACCCTGGAACTAAGGAGAAACTTCCTAACAATGAGGACAATTAACCAGTGGAACAGCTTGCCACCAGACGTTGTGGGTTCTCCATCCACTGGAGTTTTTAACGAAGAGATTGGACAGTCATTTGTCTCTATTGATCTAGGGTTTCCTACTTGAGCAGGGAGCTGGACTAGAGGACCTCCGAGGTCCCTTCCAGCTCTTTTATTCTGTTCCTAACCCTGTGGTGTGAAGGGCACAAGTGCCCGAATTCTGATCACCTGACTCGGGGGACGCTGCGGTGGTTATAAGTGCGAGGACCCGTTCTGTGCCGGGGTTTTTTTGGGGGGTTGATGTAACTCTGGAGTGGTTGCTGGAGGAACTGGGTTGTAAGTCCAGGAGTAGTTGTGACTTGTCGCTCCTCTCTCTCCTTCCAGGGCCGCGAGGGGGAGATTCGGCACCTCTTCCGGGGCTTTGCTTTCCTGCACTGTAAGAAGCTGGTGGAGAACGGAGGGATGTTCGTCTGCAAGACGAAGCACTTGATTCTGGCGGGGGGCTCCAAGGTGAGGCAGCCCCTTCCCCTCTGGCCCTGAGTGATGCGTGGGAGAGGCGAGAGTGCCCGTTCTTTTGCGGGTCCATAAAGGGAACTTGTGGGAGGAAAGCTCCATCCCAGACCAGCCCTGTTCGCTTTCCCATAACTGGCCTGGAACTAGCTAAATCCGGTCCTTCTCTAGGGGCTTGGGTGAATGTGGGGGGAGGGAGGGAGGGCCTAGGCAAGCTGTCGGTTAAGTCCACGTATTGATTGATTGCCTTTATTATTTTAACAAATAACTCAAGGTGGCCAACTTACCCAATATACCTTCTTCCTCCTATTTGCCCCATAACAACAACCCTGTGAGGTGGGTTGTGCTGAGAGGGACTGACCCAAAGTCACCCTGCTGGCTTTCATCCTTCAGGCAGGACTAGAATTCACCGTCTCCTGGTGATTGGCCCAGAGTCGCCCAACTGACTTTTATGCCTAAGGCAGGACTTGAACTCATCGTTTCCTAGTGATTGGCCCAAAGCCAGCCAGCCACTTTTTATACTTAAGGCGGGACTTGAACTCACGGTCTCCTGCTTTCTATCCTGGTGCCTTCACCACTAGACCAAACTGAACTTCCTTTTGGCAGCCCCGGGATGTCACCAACGTCACGGCTGGTGGCTTCGTGCCCATGAGTCCACGGATGAACAGCCCTATGCATCCCAGCTCTGGAGGTGGGTAGAAGGAAGGGGCCATCTCGGGTCTTGTGGTGGGGTGGGAGGTCCCCCACCATCCTTCCCCCTCATTGGGAGGGCAGGAATTGCAGCAGCCAGAAGAAAGGGAAGAAGAAGACAGTGAACCAGAGAAGAGATGGACCAAAGAAGGGAGGGTAATCAGTCCTTCCTAGCATGAGGAGGTGGGCTAAAGAGGATTCAAATCTCTTGAATATGATTCAGAGGGCCCCACAGCCCAATCCTCCCCACCCCTTGAACTGAGTGTCCAGTTCCGGGCGCCAAAACAGCGCCCGGCCTCTACACCAAGGTCCTTTCCCCAGGAGTTACAACATAGGTGCCCTTCTGAGATTGGCAGGACCCATCAAATGGCAGTGCCCTCCCAAGAGGACGGTTGGAAAGGCATTAGATGGGCTACCCCAGCAGGAAGACAGTGGCACCTTGGAGGGGCACCCATATCTCTCTTCAGCAAAGGGCTGCCATGCACACAGCCCCCCCCCCCTCCCAAGAGCCCCCTGGGAAGGGCCTGCCTCTTTGCACACCTCCTTTTACCTTATGCAGGGCCACGGGGCGGCTTTGGCGGTGGCGGAATGAACCGAGGCCGTGGGCGCAGGGATAACGACCTCATTGGACAGACGGTGCGGATTTCCCGAGGGTCTTACAAAGGTGAGAGGTCGCCACTGGTTTTTTGGAAAGATCAGGTCCAAATGTGAATTAAGCGGATGTATTGCTACTCGTGCCTTCCTAGAGGAATCTTCTCAATTAAAGTTAGCACCTGGAAGGACAGGTAGGCAACTATGGCCCCTTTACAACCTGTGAACTTCAGCTCCCATAGCTAGCTCAGGAATTCTGGGAGCTGAAGTTCGCAAGTCATAAAGGGTTCATAATTGCCCACCCCTCTTCTAGGAGTTAGAAAAGCATCAACAGAATTGGACTCAGCTTTTTTTTATTTTTTATTTTTTATTTTGATTTATATGCCGCCCTTCTCTGGAGACTCAGGGCGGCTTACAATGCGTTAAGCAATAGCCTTCATACTTTTGTATATACCTGCTTAGTAGGGCTTTCGCCCCCCCCCCCCAAGCGGTGTTCTTTTTTTATACAAAGTCAGCTTATTGCCCCTACAATCCAGGTCCTCATTTTACCTACCTCGGAAGGATGGAAGGCTGAGTCAACCTTGAGCCTGGTGAGATTTGAACTTGCAGTAATTGCAAGCAGCTGGTGTTACTTAACAGTGCTTTAGTCTGCTGTGCCACCAAGGCTCTTGACCTGCAGCTACGTAGAGATTCCAGGTGAACCCTCATTTAACGCCCGCCCTGTGGAACCTCTGTGCTCGTCTTTTCCAGGCTACATCGGTATGGTCAAGGATGCCACGGAATCCACCGCCAGGGTAGAGCTGCACTCCACATGCCAGACCATCTCAGTGGATCGGGAACATCTGACGATCGTGTAAGAGCCTTCGGGAGCCAGATTTGAGATGGGGAGGGAGGGAGAGCCCCCCCCTCTCACCCCACCTGCGTGCTTGGTTTCAGAAATGTCCTCTGGGTAGGACAGAGCCCCTCTGGGCTAGACTCAGAATCCAGCCGAGCCGAATGGGATGATGTGCCAGCTTTATTGGACCCAACTCTTCATGTCCCTCCTTTTGCAGAGATTCCAAAAAGCCATCTGGCATGCCCTCTGGCTATGGACGGACCCCCATGTATGGATCCCAGACACCTATGTATGGCTCGGGCTCCCGCACACCCATGTATGGGACCCAGCATGATGGTGAGTAGTAGAAAGAGGGTGGTACACCCATCTGCCTGGCCAGGAGAGGTCAGTGGGTATTGTGACCTGTCAGCTGTCAGTCCCTCCGGCAGCCAAATCAGATGAGGAGGAGGAGGCATGGGAGTCAGGGTCAGCATCAAGGCAACCCAAGAGCTCCGGGGGGGAAGAGGGAATGGAGCTGGCAGAGAGAGAGAACAAGAGAGAGAGAGAGGGAGGGAGGGAGGGAGGGAGAGAGAGGGGCGGAGCCTGGGCCGTCCATCAGCCCTCCGATGGAGAGTCAACAGCCCCCAGGTCTGGAGGTGGCTGATGAGGAAGAGGAGGAACAGCTGGGTCCAGTGCCTGAGAGAAGGCAGAGGAGAGGAGAGCAGTGGAAATCAATGGGCCGATCCTTGGGACGGAAGAGCCACCGCTGCTAGCGAGGCCCCACCCTAGCTCTGGGGATAAAAGTCAGGGGGCGGAGATGAATAGGGTGGCAGACAACTAGTCATCTCCTGGCCAGACGAATTTGTTAGCCTGCGGTGAGAGAGAAACTTTTTACTGGGGCTGCTGGCGCTCCTAATAAAGGAATCTTTTGAGTTCACTTCAGAGGGTTTGTCGTGTTTGGGGAGCTTGGTCAAAACAGTGGGTTTCTTAGCATCTGACCTGTTGGCTACCCCGAAGGCCTCTTCCACCCTTAGCAAGGAGGCTGTTGAATTCCCTAACCTGAGGACATTGTGTGAGAGGGCGGGCTGCCTGAAAATTGGCTGGCAACTGAGCTGGTGGTGCCCTGCCCCTTTAAGACCTCTCCCTAGCCTGCCCAGCAACAACCAACAAAGACAGGCAGAAAAGCGGCTGGGTTTGGTGGATGTTGTTGTTGTGTAGCAGTAGGAGTAGGAGTAGGAGGTGGTGTGTAGCAGTGCGAGGGGAAGTTGTTTAACGCAATAACAGTAACAAATAACAAATGTCTGTTTTTCAGGAAACCGGACGCCGCACTACGGTTCCCAAACACCCTTACATGATGGCAGCCGGACACCTGCCCAGAGCGGCGCCTGGGATCCCAACACCCCTTCGAGGTAGGACTTCCAGTCTGGTGGAGGGAGGGAGGGCTGGGGGAGTCCCAGCACAGGAGCTGAATTGGATATTTGACTTCTTCTACAGGCCAGAGGAAGAATTTGACTATGGTTTCGACGACGAGCCCACGCCTTCTCCCCAAGGCTATGGAGGAACCCCCAACCCACAGACTCCAGGCTATCCAGACCCTTCTTCCCCGCAGGTTAATCCTCTGTACAACCCTCAGACGCCCGGAACCCCAGCCATGTAAGTGCACCAGTGCTGAGATCGCTGGACTAGAGGGTGGCCAACGGCTTGGTTGGCTAACTCAGGACAGGAGCCCGTGCAGAGGCTCAGGGAACCCTCCTCCTGCAGCCTGAGAGAGGAGGAGATTTGTGGCTCAAGATTAAACTGGGGGCTTCTTGGGGCTCTCTGAGCTTGGTGAGTCCTTTGCAGGTGTTTCATGACCCAAGTAGGTAACCTTATCAGTGTTAGAAGGGAGTGGAGTTTGTGGACAGGAGGAGGAGGGGGGGGCAAGCAAGGGAAGAGGAACTTTATGGGGTTCTCAGAGCCTGGTGGTTTTCTTGCAGGTATTTCATTACCTAACTAGGTAATATCATTAGTGCTAGAAGGGAGTGGAGTTTGTGAAGCGAAGGAGAAGGGGAGGAAGAAGAGGAGGAGGACTGGGGGGGTCCTTGGTCCTTTCAGAAACTAGTGGTTTTCTTGGAGGCATTTCATTTAGGTAACATCATTGTAGAAGAGAGAGGGGTTTGCTGCTAGCACTGACGATGTTCCCTAGTTGTGTCATGAAATGACAAAGGAAGGAAGGAAGGAAGGGAAGAGAGAAAGAAAAGGAAGGAAAGAAAGAAAGAAAGAAAGAAAGAAAGAAAGAGAAAGAAAGAAAAGAAAGAAAGAAAGAAAGAAAGAAAGAAAAAGAAAGAAAGAAAGAAAGAAAGAAAGAAAGAAAGAAAGAAAGAAAGAAGGAAAAGGGAAGGAAAACCACTAAGCTCAGAGAGCACCAACAACCTCAGAAATAGGTCTCCCTTTGAGAGCCCATCCTGAAGGTTCTCCTTGATAGTTGCTGATTCTCAGACTGTACTGGAGCAGGGAGGGGGGAGGGGGGAATGGCCATTGGCTGTCCTACCTGCTCTGAAGAAAGCCTCTTGTCTTGGCAAAGGTATAACACCGACCAGTTCTCTCCGTACGCCGTCCCGTCTCCTCAGGGCTCCTACCAACCGAGTCCCAGCCCTCAAAGTTTCCACCAAGTGGCACCCAGCCCTGTGGGCTACCAGAACACCCACTCACCTGCCAGCTACCACCCGACTCCTTCGCCAATGGCTTACCAGGTACGCTTGATAAAGCCAACATGGAATGGAACCTCTCTCCCTCGGTGTCTTTAAAACAGCTCCGCAGCCTCACCTCGGGAGCCCAAGCGGCTCATCTAAATTTTTAACTTTTGTTAAACTGATTAATTTTTAATATTTTACTTTACTCCGTAAAGGAGATGAATCTTTTTAAAATTTGAAAAAGAAACAGACAAGGCACCCTTTGAAAAGGCATCTGTGCTGCTTCTCCAAGAACATAAAGTGACACGTGGGTTGAATAAAAGTCTAACCAGAGTCTGAAAAGATGGGAATCAGGTTGCCTCTCTTCCTGTCACCTGCCACAGCCAAGCAACTGCCTGGAACCAGCCCTGATTTTTCTCATGCAGTCTCTCTCTCTCTCTCTCTGTCTCTCTCCAGGCTAGCCCCAGCCCCAGCCCAGTGGGCTGTAGCCCTATGACCCCGGGGGCTCCTTCCCCAGGAGGTTACAACCCTCACACCCCTGGCTCCGGGATTGAGCAGAGCTCCAGCGACTGGGTCACCACCGATATCGAGGTCAAAGTGCACGACACGTACCTGGACAGCCATGTGGTGGGGAAGACCGGAGTCATCCGTAGCGTGAATGTAAGTGGCTGGACGGAAGAGGCCGTTTGCACGGGGTGACCAGGAAGTAGACAAGGGCATGAAAGGGTTTGAGCAAAGAGTTGGCTCTTTTCTCCCGCAAGAGTCGAAAGCGGAAACCTAGAAAGGACCTTGAGCAGAGGTGGGCCCTGTCCTGTCTTTGGCTCTGGTTACTTCTGAGTTGAGGGTTGGCCATTCCGCTACAGGTAGTCCTTGGCTTACGGTCCCCATTGAGCCCAACATTCCCAGTGCTGAGCAGCCAGCAAAGTGAATTTTGCCACATTTTATGACCGTTCTTGCCATTCTTAAACAAATCCCTGCAATTAAGTTAATAACATGGTTGTTAAGTGAATTTGGCTTCCCCATTGACCTTGCTTGTCAGAAGGTCGCAAAAGGGGATCCACATGATCGTGGGTCATAAATGTGAAAAACAGTCATAAATCCCTTTTTTCGAGTGCTGTTATAACTTCTAAACGAATGGTTGTAAATTGAGGACTACCTGTAATCCAGAAGGAACAGTGTAGTGGTGGCTCAGGAAGATCCCAAGGAAGGCTGGCTGTATCTTAGCAACTACCCCTCGTCAGTTCCTCCTAGTTCTGGTCCGTCTTTATGGCTACCGTTTCATGTTGATCAAGGAGAGGGATTGGCTCCCGCACAGCCGAGGAGAGATTATTCTCTTGTCACCAGAGTTAGGTGAACTTTCCTGTGGCTGACGCTTCCAGCTTGTCACCTGGGTGGTTTTCTTCCTTTCCCCTCTTCCCCCCACCCTCCCATTCTTCCCTCCCTTGTTTGCCTGCTAGGGTGGGATGTGTTCGGTCTACGTTAAGAAATGTGAAAAGGTAGTCAGCATTTCAAGCGAACACCTGGAACCTGTGACACCAGCCAAGAACGATAAGGTAGGTCAAAGCTTTCTCCACCAGGCAGCCTTCTCTGTCTGTCTGTATATCTTTACCATCCATCCATCCAACTTTGTCTGTCTGTTTGTCTGTCTATCATCTATCTAATCTAATCTACCATCCATCCACTCAATTTTATCTATCTATCTATCTATCTATCTATCTATCTATCTATCTATCTATTAATCTAATCTAATCTAATCTACCTGTGGCTGCTCCTCGCTGGGTCTACCTTTGAGTAAAAGACTCGAGGAAGCCTCGCTTTTTAGCCAAGTAATTCTGAGTTTTCTCCTGCCTTGCAGGTCAAAGTCCTCTTGGGAGAAGACCGCGAAGGGACGGGGATGTTGCTGAGCATTGATGGGGACGATGGCATCGTCCGCATGAACCCAGAAGAGCAGCTCAAAATTCTCAACTTGCGTTTCCTGGGCAAACTCGTAGAAGCTTAGCAGGGCGGAGAACAAGAGTGGGGTGTGATTAGGGGGGCTTTGTTACATTTTATTCCCTCTTTTTTCACTTAGCCGGTTGCCTCCCAACCGCGCACCGTCAAGGCTTTGTACAGATTTGCTCCTGAGGAAGGTTTATTTTTCTTTGCGCGTCTGCGAGTTTCTTCCTGCTGCCTATTTTTCCCAGCGCTGCGGGTGACTGCTTGGGTGAGGGACAATCTTGCAATTGTCTTATGAAGTGACTTCAGCAGAAGAGCTGCCGCCAGTGGAGAACTGTGCCCGGCTGTTTCCCAAACCCTCTTCCGTAGCACTTTATGGCCTCTTCAGCACCAAAACATCCAACCCTTAAAACATCCAATTTGTTTCAATAAAATCATCTCATAAAAGATTTTATATTGTGAATTCCTACTTACAGAAATCCTGAATTTGTCTATCTGCTATCTACCTTACTTACTTACTTAGACAGGTAGTTCTTAACTTAAAACCACAATTTAGGCCAAAATTTATGTTGCTGAATTTTGACCCATTTTACAAGTTTTCTTGCCAAATTTATTAAGCAAATCACTGCAGTTGTCAAGTAACATGGATATTAAGTGCATCTGGCTTCCCCATTATCAGAAGGTCTCAGGACACTGCAACAGTCATAAATACCAGTCAGTTTCCAAATTTTGATCATGTGACCGTGGGGATGCTGCAACGGTCATAAGTGTGAAAAATGGTCCTATAAGTCACTTGCAACTTCAAACAGTCACAATGAACTGTTGTGAGTCAATGAGCACCGGTACCTGTATGCTTCCCATCTAAACTAGGGCAATTCTGGCCAACTTACAATCGAAGCAATAAAATAAAATTTTTAATTAAAATTAATATTATTTAGATATAATAAACACTAACTGTGGATGCCTTGGCTCTATATCTTGTGAAAATTGAGGTTTTCTTTTTTAAGGCACGTGTCTTGCTCTTCGCACGTGCTTTGATGTCCCTTCGGCTCTTTAACCTTGTCACTTTCCGGGAAGACCGGTAGGGAAGATAAGGTTACGCCCCTTCGCGTTGTAGCCAATGGGAGTTGCGGCCGCTTATTTTAATAAAAACTTCGCGGGTTTTCTCCATGCCCCCTTGAACCCCAATTGGTCGGAGAAATTTGGGAGGCGTAGATCTGGCTGGTGGATTGGATATCATGACAAATGCCGCTTCTGTTATTGGACAAAGCGGTCGAAGGGGCGGGCAGTCCGGCTCCGGAAATATTGATGTGGTGGGGAGGGGAGGTATCTTTCCTTTTCGCTCTCTGATTGGCCGCCTCCGTTTTCCCCAGTCGCGGCGCGCGCCGGACACCCCCGCCCCCTCGCTCCTGATTGGGCAAGGGCCGGCGCAGGCGCGAGAGGCCCCCCCGAGCAAAGATGGCCGCGGTGGTGGCGGCCGCTCGTGTCCTGTCTGAGGCGGTGCTGACGGGCGGGCTGCGAGCGCTGCTGGGCGGCGGAGGCGGCGCCGGCTGCCGGCGGTGGAAACGGGACGGCGCCTGGGCGCTGCCGGGTCGGACGTGGAGCTCGGGGGCTCCGCCGGGGGTCCCTCCTCAGGCGAAGGCGGCGGGGCCGGGGCTGACCGGGGCCGTCCTGAGGGAGGTGGCCCAGCAGCAGCAGCAGCAGAAGGTGAGGGACGGCCAGAACAGGCCATCGGGGGCCACAGCGACCCTCCCTTGGCGGTTGGAGGGCCATCACGGGGGCTTCCGCAAGGGTCGGGCTCCAGGGGCCGGGGAGGCCGGGTTGGGGCCCCGGGCCTCGCCTGCTGGAAGCTCGGAAGGTTAGCAGTAGGTTAGGCCAAGCCAGAACGCCCACCAGCCTTAGGGGGAGCTCAGAGACGGAGCTTCAGTGAGCATCAAAATTGAAGTCCTGAATTGGGCATCCTGTCATTCAAAAATGCAGGTAGTCCTCGACTTACAACCATTCGTTTAGTGACTGTTCGAAACTAAAGTGGCACTGGAAAAAGTGACCTGGAACCGTTTTTCACACTTACGACTGTTGCACCGACCCTGAGGATGGTGCAACAGTCGTAAGTGTGAAAAATGGTCCCAGGTCAAACTTCAGCCACTTGGCAACTGATTCATATTTATGACGGTCACAGTCTCCTGGGGTGACAAGGAAGCCACCTTTGCCGACCTTCTGAGAAGCAAAGTCAGCGGGAAAGTCAGCTTCACTTTACAACTCCACTGGGAAAAAAATGACATGACTGTTTTTCACACTTAAGACGGTTGCAGTGTGGCCGTGTGAAAAACAGTGGTCACGCGATCAAAATTCAGACATTTGGCAACTGGCTCATATTCATGATGGTTGCAGTGATCATGAGATCATGGGATCCCCTTTTGTGACTGACAAGCAAAGTCAATGGGGAAGCCAGATTCACTTATCAACTGTGTTACTAAATAGCTGTAGGGATTCACTTAATGTTGACAGGAAAGATTGTAAAATGAGCCAAAAATCACTTAACAACTGTCTCATCATCTAAAATGTTGGGTTCAATTGTGGTCATAAATGAAGGACTATCAGTATATGGTTTCTGCGATTGTGCACTACCTCCATTCAGCATTTTCTCTCTCTCCCTCCAGTCAACAGGAGAAGAAGATGGGAAAGGCTCCGATGAACAGCAAGAGAAGACGAAAAAGCAGAACCCTGCCTATACAAAGAGACTGCTGCAGATAGTAGGCCTTCTCGGAGCTGGCAACGGCATAGCAATTATCTACATCTTTGGTAAGTCCGCTTTCGGCCTGTGATTTTATGGTACGCCCAAGATAAAATCAGGACCAGTCAGTGCATCGTATCAAAGCTCTCTTCTCTGGCTTATGATCAATACCACAATCTGAACTGTTGCAGTTGTATCCTGGGGCCAGGCCTCTGCGTAATATCTTCCAGTTACAGTGTTGTGTTGATGGAGGTTTCTGTTCTGTTTCTGTTTGAAATCAAAATTGTCATGCTCTGAAGGTGAAGAGTTGAATAGTTTATTGCCAAGATGGTTGTTTCAGGTCTTTTAAGATACTGGTTGGGTCCTCTTTGTTGGCATTAGTGATTCTGTGGTCAGCCCGGAAGATTGATTGATGGAAAGAATTGTGTGTTGTTTTATTTCTCTAGCCTAAATCTAGTTCCATTACTGTTAGGAAGTGTGAAGAGATGAGGTCCTCAAGATTCATATACACGTCTCCCCAGGCTATTAAATGGCTCCCTATTTCTCATAGTTGACAAATATTTCTCATTTTTTCACTCACTCACTCACCCTCTCTCTTTTTCTGGCAGGTCGTAATTCAGTGGATGAAAATGGTGCGAAGGTAGGATGCTTTATTATCTAGAAGAAGTTTTCTTGTTAACTAGGTGGCTGCCACTAGAGGTCGTTCAGTGTTCAAAAGATGCTGGGCAGTCTAAAGTCAGATGATGTAGCCTGAAGCACAGAAAAGATTAATTTGAGCTCCAAATAAATTTAGTGTCGGTAAAAACTGACTAGGAAAAGCAAGCAATGTAATGTGATGAAAGCCAGCATCACAAGGATTATATGTCCCTGTAGAGCAGAGATATCCAACCATGGCAACTTTAAGACTTGTGGACCCCAACTCCCATAATTCCCAGCATGCTCTGGCTGGGGAATTCTGGAAGTTGAAGTCCACAGATCTTAAAAGTTGCCAAGGTTGGACACCACTGCTCTAGAGAAAAACTACTTTGCATGCAAGCTTTCAAAATAGCAGTCATCTGTTTTTCACTGTGGTGGTTGGTCCTTTAGATGGCAGCAGCCCTGAAAGGCCACTTAGACTGGGAATGGGAGTTTTTCAAGATCACCAAGAGACCATGATTAGACTTGAGCCTACTTATCCCATGTTGACATCCAGCATTCTAGCTCTTGCCTTGTGCAGTGAGGTAGCAGAAATTGCTGAGCTCCAAAAATAACCAACTCAAACTCCCAGCCTCAAATCTGCCCCCTCAGCAGTCCTAGCAGGACTTCACAGTTGCAAAAAGAAAGAAGGAGGTTGTGTGAGCGGTGACTCTTTTAGTGGCAGGTTTCCAATGTTTCAGTTTTGTTACTGGTAGTTGTTGACTTACAACCACTTGTTTAGCAACCATACAAAGTCACAATGGCACTGAAAAAATTGACTGATAAGCAGGAATAACTGCTGCAGCGTCCCTATGGTAGCATCGTCAAGATTCAAGCACTTGTCAACCAGCGTGTATTTACAAGGGTTGCACCGTGTGTGTGTGTGTGTGTGTGTGTGTGTGTGTGTGTGTGTGACATGATCACCATTTGCGACCTTTCCCTCCAGCTTCAACAAGCAGTCAATGCGGGAAGCCAGATTCATTTAACTATTGTGTTGATTCGCTTAACAAATGCTGTGATTTGCTTAACAATGGCCAAAAAAAAAAAAAGATCTTAAAATCAGTCCTGACTCAATGTCTTGCTTAGTACTGGAAATTCTGGTCCCAGTGTTGTGTTTGTAAGTTGAGGACTACCTGTAATTCACTTTTCTTTGCTTAATACATTGTCATAAAAGAAAAATGGCTACCGGTATTCTATTTTCTTATTTATTTATTTTTATTTTGTTTATTTGTATCTCACCTTTATTATTTTTTCAAATAACTCAAGGCAGTTGAGTTATCCAATACACCTTGCTCCTCCTATTTTCCTCACCACAACAACCTTGTGAGGTGATTCGGCTGAGAGAGTGACAGGTCCAAAGTCAATCAGCTAGCGTTCATAGTTAAGGCGGGACTAGAACTCCCCATCTCCTAGTGATTGGCCCAAAGTCACCCACCTAGCTTTCATGACTAAGGCAGGACTAGAACTCACCATCTCCTGTTTTGTAGCCTGGTGCCTTAACTACCAGACCAAACTGCTGCTCTTATACTTTCCTGAACAGTGTGTTATGATTTTTTTCCTCGTTTTTGTAGTTTTTATTCCCCCCACTAGCAAATACTCATGCCTCCTTTTACAAAATATCTCTAGGGATGCTCTGTTTCTCCTCATCCCGATTCTGAACAAAATATGTGCAACTTGCAGAATAGCCAGTCATAACTTGGAACAGGGAAAAACGCTTCTCTTTCACTGAGTACAGAATGTAATCCAGGCCAGTTTCCAAAATCCCTTTTGTGCCACCGAGACAATATTTGGGTGGCGATTTCCTGTGACACGATGACTCAGCCTAGGACAGGCCATGGGGAAAAGTCTGAAGCCAAGTTCCCACAGATGTTTTGTGGTCCTGATTACAGCAGGCACATGTTGCCAGGGATGTGTGAAAGGGGTCCTGGCTGATGGGCGCTTGATGTACCTGTTGTTACGGGGGGTGGGGCGGCACTAAGAGGGAAGGAGCTGCTTGTCAGGGGAGTGCTACACATTTGCTAATGGGGCTGTATTTGCTTGAGAAAGTTTCTTCCAGGCTTCCAACATTTTGTCCAGATGTGGAGTTTGTTCTTTCATTGGTGAATTTCAGGGAAACAATATCCTCACCCTTTTGTTCAGCACTATAGATGGAAAGAGGGCTGTGCTTAAAGTTTGTAAAATGCTTGTACATTCTGCATTATTCCATAATTTTTTTAATCTAACAAAATCTTAGATCAGTAGTGACTCTGCAGCTCAGTCTATGGTCTGATCCTGGCATCAATACAGAAGGGAAGGGTATTTTTTGGTATTCATTATCCTTTCTGTCTTTCACCTGATCCAGTCTAGTTTTTTATCGACATTATTGAAATACACACACACACACACAAATATCACAATGGAATTCAGCATGATTGCATAAATGTCCTCCACACCTCCTCGGCAACAATTATGTACAAAACATTGCAGCCTAAATCTGTAAGCATAGTTTTTGTTATAAAAGGCATTTATTGTTGAGCAGGGAAATGCAGGCAGCTTCTGCAATTGTACAGTATTTCTACATTTTAAATTTGTGATCTATCTTCCCTATTTATTTCCCCAAGTTGATGCTTTCGAAATTTGTCTGGGATGACAGCATCTGGATTCTGTAGTCGGCACACTTATCTTACAGGGGTCATTTTTTAATTGTTGATTCCTAAAGAGATGCTCTCCCTTCGTGTGAATTGCAAGCCACGAGGATGAGGGAAGATTCTTTTGATCTGTAGCACAAGTCCCAAGTGCCCTTGAGGAAACAAGGTGTGAATTGCTAGTGGCCTTACACATCCCTGAGGCATTTTGAACGGCAGACTTAAAATACACCCACCCACTATCCCAACTCCTCTTTTAAGGCCCTGATTTCCTTTCTCTATACTGGCAGCTTTGAAGTTAGAAGCTGCTATTCTTCACCTTGTTGTAAACAACAACCTGAATTATCCTCGGAGGTGAGGACATCATACTGCACTATCCCAGAGGAAGAGAGGGCTTCTTAAATCACCCTGGGCGAATGACCCTCCCCTTCTCCCCCAGCCCCCATCAGTCATCGAAACCTGAACACGTTCCTTTCATGCTCCTCCTGGGCCTCGGTTTCTTCTCACCGTTATGGGCTTTGGGTCAGCTTATGGCCGGCACATGCCATCTGCCTTGGGTTGTTTGCATTAACAAGCACAATTCCGGCACAATTGGCAACTGTCCGAGAAGTCTCTGTGGGAAGGAAGCAGGTTGGAGCACAGAGTCCCTGACTTAGCTCTTCCCCCTTGAATGCAGGCTAAGGGAAGTTTGTTTGATATACTTATTTGTATCCCGCCTTTATTATTTTGAAAAAAAAATATTTTCCTCACCAGGCTTGTGAGGTGGGTTGGGCTGAGAATGAGGGACTAGCCTGGAGTCACCCAGCCAGCTTTCATGGCTGAGGCGGGACTAGAACTCACCGTCTCCTGGTGATTGGCCCAAAGCCGCCCAGCCAGCTTTCATAACTAAGGCACAGGACTTGATCTTACTTTCTCCCGCTTTCTAGCCTGGTGCCTTAACTACCCTCATGTTGTGGTGTCCCATCCCATTACCAATGCATAGTCACAAATGTTTGGCCTTTAAGTGGACTCCCCCCCCCCTTTAAAAAATCAAGTTTTAAGAAGGGAGAACTGTGTCATAACTCTTCCTTCTGAAACCTTTATTTTTCAGCTCCTATGTCACCATTATATTTTGGATAATTAGCAGATGTATGGTAAGACAGCTCAATTCCCCTAGAATTATCTTATTACTACGAGAGATAATTACTCTACAGTGTTGGCTAAAGTAAGTAAAGAACTTACATAAGTTTCTCTCTTATAGAAGAGGATGTAAAATATTATCTTCCATTGGTAGGTTCCATTGGTTGGATGTGTATAAATTTGTCTCAAACCTGAGCCCCTCTTTTGGGGGGGGGGGGACGCAAAAGACAGGATGTCTAGAATTCTTACAAATGGCCTTGCTTTGAAGTAGCTCCCTGCCTCTCCCTGCCTGCCCCTTTCCGTCCTGCTCTGGGGCCATAATAAGCCCCCTTTGGTTTCGCTAATGACCCTTTTTCGTAGGCTGCCTGTCGCATTCATGCGAATGGCCACAGTGAGGCGTGATGGCAAATGTGCCTGGTCTGAAGACCCCGGCTGGCACACTTCACAACTTCCTGCAAGTCGCATGGCATTGCCTGGGTGCAGGGGGACTCGTCCTGTCTAGGCCCATCTCGGCCTAAGTGGCTGTAAAAGAGGCTCAGGCTTTGATCTTTCTTTCTTTCCCACACTTTTCTTCAGCTTCCGTGTCCTGAGAAGTGTGGATCCACTCAAAGAGGCTTCTTGATCTTTTTTATTACAAATTTCCTTTCTCACTCTTCCCATTTGCATTGATCTTCCCGCCTCGGTCTTGGAAACAAAATGTTGGCAACTTCTGGAAAGCTGTGCTTAGGGCAGTGTAAGTGAGCCACCCTGGGAAAGAGGTAACAGTTGGGAAAATCCTGAAGGACCTTCCGCTTCTTGGTACCCTCATTGCCTCTTGGACATTTGGGGAGAACTCCTTGATATTGTTCTCAAGGAGAGAAGCAACCTGGAATTAAGAAGAAACTTCCTAACAGTCAGGACAATTAACCAGTGGAACGGCTTCCTTCCAGAAGTCATGCTTTATCACTGGAGTTTTTTAAAAAGAGACTTGACAGCCACTTGTCTGAAATGGTATAGGGTCTCCTTCTCAAGCAGGAGATTGGACTAGAAGACCTCCAAGGTCTCTTCCAGCTGTATTCTGATTCTGTTTTTCATAGGCACCTCAGTGGTGTGTTCCTGACTTGCTTTTATTCGGGGCTGGCATTTTGGAACCTAATGTCCTTTCTGGTTGTTGGAGAAGACTCTTGAGGGTCCCCTGGTCTTCAAGGGGATCCAATCAGTCAATCTGAAAGAAAATCAAACC